GCTCATAGACCGTGGAAGGTATCCATAGTTAAGCTCGAAGGGAGCGAAACCCGTGGTGGAACTCGTGGCGGAGTTCAGCGCGAACTCAGCGAGAGGGAGCTTCTCATACCAGTCGAGCTGGTCAGGGGACACCATTGTCCTCAGGATCTGGGTAATAGAACGAATTGTACGTTCAGACAGACCATCGGTCTGTGGGTGGAATGAGGTGGACATGAGTAGTTTCACGCCCATCAAGCGATGAAGTTCTTTCCAGAACTTGGACGTGAATTTACTGTCCCTGTCAGACACTATGGACTCAGGGAGTCCGTGAAGTCGTACGACTTCACGCAAATAAATCAAGGCAAGCTCATCTGCCGTGTTCGTAGTGTTCACCGGAATCAAGTGAACCATCGACGTTAGTCGACAGACGATTACCCAGATGTAATCGTACCCGTGAGATTTCGGGAAAGGACCCACAAAGTCCATGGATGTAGATACCCACGGCTGTCGTGGTATGGGCAAGTTGTGCAATAGCCCGGTGGGGAGCTTCGTGGACACTTTCGCAGTGTGGCAAATACCACAACTAATGCAGAACTTGTCCACGTCCTTTTGGAGTGCTGGCCACCAGAACCAACGTCGGACGTACTCCGATGTACGCTGAGGACCGAGGTGTCCTAGGGCGGTATGAGCCCTATCAAGTACTAGCTCAGGTATTGAGCGACCCTTGTAAGGGGCCCGCGGTAAGCAGACGACTTCTTCGTCTTGACGATTCTTAGTGTACAGTATACCGTCGCGCAGCGCGAAGGAGCTGAATCCGGCCGGGTTGTCCAGTACCTTGGACAACGTCTTGTCCAGTGAATATCCTTGACGTATGGCCGTCCAAAAGGCCTCGTCCGACTCTACGTGCTTTCGTAGGGAAGGCCCACTGGCTAACGCCTCGGCCAGTGTCGGAGACGACTGGGGGGACGTAGATTCGTCCGTCTCGGGGGTTCTCGGCTGGTGCGTAGCGTACTGCACCGCCTCGGACACTCGTGCCTCCTCTCGGTCTCTGGGTAGAGGCCCTCCTTCTTGGCGAACGGCTCGCTCTGATTGCTGCCTAGTACAACGTAAGATACGTCCGCCGCGAATCTCGATGAGTCGAGATTGGGGTAGGTCATCCCCTTCAGGATCCAAACGCGCGTCGGCGTTTACCATGTCGTACTCGGGGACCTCATCGTGGTAGTTGTCGTTCTCGTGATAACGAGACAAACAATCGGCTACCTTGTTGAGTTTCCCCGGAATGTACGTGATGTCGTACTTGAATCGCGCCAGATATTCGTACCAACGAATCTGTCGTCGACTCGGGCGTTCGATGCCCTGCAAGAACTCAAGGGCCTTATGGTCAGTCACAATATGAATGTGACGGCCAAGGAGCTTATCCTCCCATTTGAGGAGCCCCTCCATGATGGCAAGAGCCTCTTGCTCGTACGTGTGGTACGCCTTCTGCGCTGAAGAAAACTTCTTCGATAAGAATCCTGCAGGCCTACAGGTCTGCCAGTCTTTTCCTTGGCCATACACGGCCCCTATCCCGTAAATGGATGCGTCACAAATGAGCCATATGGGCTCCGGTAGTCGGGGGTCGATGGGCCGAAGGATAGGCACTTTACAAGCTAGGGCCTTTATGGCCTCGAAGCACTTGTCGTGTAGTGCTCGCCATATGAATGGCTGGTCATTGCGGACCATCGCAGAAAGAGGTGACGTATATGCCGTAACGTCAGGCATGAAGTGGGCGAGGTAGTTTACCAGCCCTAGGAATCTCTGTACCTCATGGTACGACCGTGGCGTACGCCAGTTCCGTATTCGACTCATCTTGTCGGTGTCGGCGTGCAACCTGCGGTCATCTATACGATGACCAAGACAGTCCAGGTCTTTCGAGTACAAGTCGCACTTATTGCGACTGAGGAAGAGTTTGGCCTTCCGGAGTACGTCGAACACTTGTGACAAATGTCGCTCATGGTCTTCGCGCGTGTCGGAGTAGACGAAAATATCGTCTAGGTATACGTGTACAAAACGTCCAATAAAATCACGGAAAATCGTGGTCATGAGACGTTGAAAAGTCGAGGGCGCGTTGGTATCGCCCTGTTGCATAACTTCGCTGACGAACGTCCCGAAGGGCGTTGCAAAAGCGGTCTTCCAGATATCCTCGGCCACGATGCGTACTTGTTCGTACGCATCCGACAGGTCTATTTTAGACCGATATCTGGCTCGCGCTACATCCATGCGGAT